TTTCATAATTTTTGGCCCATTTTTCATGATTTTTGGACCATTTTCCATGATTTTCGGACCATTTTCATGATTTTTGGACCATTTTTCTTTATTTTAGACACATTTTTCATGATTTTTGGTCCATATTTCATGATTTTTGGTTCATTTTTCATGATTTTTAGTCCATTTCTAATGATTTTTGGACCATTTTCCATGATTTTGGGATTATTTTTCGAAATTTTTAAATCATTTTTCATAATTTTTGGTCCATTTTTCATGATTTTTGGACCATTTTCCATGATTTTCGGACCATTTTCATGATTTTTGGACCATTTTTCTTTATTTTAGACACATTTTTCATGATTTTTGGTCCATATTTCATGATTTTTGGTTCATTTTTCATGATTTTTAGTCCATTTCTAATGATTTTTGGTCCATTTTTCAGGATTTTGGGATTATTTTTCGAAATTTTTAAATCATTTTTCATGATTTTTGAACCAATTTACATGATTTTTAAATAATTTTTCATGATTTTTGGTCCATTTTCCATGATTTTCGGACTATTTTCGTGATTTTTGGACCATTTTTCTTTATTTAAGACACATTTTTCATGATTTTTGGACCATTTTCCATGATTTCTGGCCCGTTTTTCATGATCTTTGGACCATATTTCATGATTTTTGGTTTATTTTTCATGATTTTTAGTCCATTTCTAATGATTTTTGGTCCATTTTTCATGATTTTGGGATTATTTTTCGAAATTTTTAAATCATTTTTCATAATTTTTGGTCCATTTTTCATGATTTTTGGACCATTTTCCATGATTTTCGGACCATTTTCATGATTTTTGGACCATTTTCCATGATTTCTGGCCCGTTTTTCATGATTTTTGGTTCATTTTTCATGATTTTTGGTCCATTTCTAATGATTTTTGAACCATTTTTCATGATTTTCGGATTATTTTTAATGAATTTTTAGTCATTTTTTTCTTCCAGGTACCACAAAGCCCTCCTTGTCAATGACCAAAATGCCGCAAAATTCATTCATGACTCCAAGTATCCGATGCCAATGAAAATGGCCGGGAGAAAGCTGAATATGACCAGAAATGACTTGGAAAAGTGAGTTTTTGGGTCAAAAATGACCGGCAAAATGTATTTTGGAGGTTAAAATGCCACAAAAATCTAGATTTTAAGTCCAAAATGATCTGAAAATGATGAAAAATGAATTTTTCGAAAATTGAAATTTTTTTTATTTTTAATATTTTTCTCAAAATTCAGCAAAATGATCTAAAAAGGTGCGTTTTCTAGGTTAAGAAACGTCTGAAAAACACGATTTTTGGTTTGAAAATCCTCTAAAATGACTCGAAAATGCTCAAAAATCATTTTCTATTCCAGGTGGTCCGAGAAGTCTAGAGAAGTCATGTATCAAGCGTGTTTGGCCAAATTTTCCCAAAATTTGGAGTTGAGAAAATTACTTTTCCGCACAAAAGGCATGATTTTGGTGGAGGCATCTGGAAATGATGCTATTTGGGGAATTGGTGAGTTTAGGAATGGTCATTTTGCTTGAAAAATCATTTTTGCCGTTTGTTTGGCTCCAAAATGCTCCAGATCGCTACAGAATTCACATCAGTCATTTTGGAGCATTCTGGAGCATTCAGGAGCATTCTGGAGCATTCTGGAGCATTTTGACCAATTTTTAAAGTTTGAAATGCTCTAAAATGCCCTAAACCCCATAAAAATTCTATTTCAGGAATCTGGAAAGAGGATCCACGTGCTCAGAACGAGGACTCCTGGCATGGTACCAACTGGCTTGGCATTATCCTGGACAAAATCCGTGAGGAACTTTGGGACAAGCCAGAATTCAAAAATGAGAAGGAAGAAATTGAGAAGGAGAATGTGGAGACCCGAATTATGTTCTTGGAAGCGCTGAAAGATATAGATAATAACTTTGAAAATTCGTTTATTTCAACATAAAATCAATAAAGACCTGTTAAAAATAGTGTAAAAAGAAATAAATAAAGACTTGACCCAGGCAGGGGTCGAACTTGCAATCTTCTGATTAGAAGTCAGACGCCTTCTCCATTAGGCCACAAGGCCACGAAAGAGCGAACAGGAGGAGGGCGTATAGTAGTCGGCGGGAAAAGGGGGAAAAAATGGCGGCCGCGAGAGAGAAGGGGGGATGAGATGGAGGAGATAATTTTACAGGGGGTAAGGTTTCCAGATGTCCCTAGGGATGGGAAATCGTTCTGAAATTAAAATAAAGTTTATTTTTTCTAATGTTAAAATTTACGCCTAATCGATTGAAATAAAAATCAAAGCTGTAGCTTAAAAATGAAGCAAGTTATGGGTATTTGAAATTAGGCGCCTAGTTTTTTGGCATTTATAGCTATTAAAGTTATTATTTCAGCTTTCTAATGGACCATTTTGTGAAAAATTAAAGTTAAACGTGCTGTTCAAACTTTTGAATCCTAAAACCACCTACTTTGTTCAAAAACCACAAATTTTCAAAAAAAACGTTTTTTTTTCGAAAAATTACTATTTTGCATTTTCATTGAAAGATGAAAACCTTAAAGTTTCTCTACTTTTCTTTGTTTTCTTAAAAATTTCAAATGTTTCCTCAATTTTCACGGATACCGACAAGATTTACAACGAAACCGAGGCCCGGGTCCTGTTTGAACTGGTTGCTGCAGTACACAACAGTCAACCTCAGTTTTGTCTGAAAGCGTGAGTTTAAGCGAAGTTTTGAGTAGAAATTTGGATTCAGAACGATTTTTTTGTCTAGAAAAGATTCAGAAATTTTTGATAATTCGAAAAAAACAATTTTTTTGAAGATTTTTTGAAAAAAGTTTTTTAAAAGAATTTTTCTAAAATTGTCATATCTCGATCAATTTGGTTCCAAACGATTCCAAATTAAATTTTTGTGTTTTTCACATTTTTCCGGTCAAAATGAGTATAATCATGACCTATTTTCATCAAAATGATTTTTGGGCATTTTCATAAAATCACTGATTTCGGAAATCTTATCATAACTTCTCGAATTATTGTTCAAACTCGAAAATTTTTACATTTTTTTAATCAGCTCAAAATGACGGTTCGAATGAGTATAATCATGACTCAATTCCATAAAAATGATTTTTGTGCATTTTTGTGCACTATTCGTTTTCAGCTCATTTCCAAATCCCCAAACTCGTCCAAAACTGATAACCCAGTTTTTCGTGAGATGTGATCATTTGAATAGTGATTGCACTTTCGCACTATGTAAGTTTGAAAGAATGAAATTGATCATTTTGCATTTTTCTTTTTTTTTCCAGTTGAACTTCCTGGTGAGCAAGTTGTCATTGCTATCCGAGGCACACGGACCATGAGCCAATTATTTTTTGAAACAATGAGCGCATTCATTCCGGATACATCGTTTCATGGTCTTGGTGAGGTGAGCATTAGAATGATCAATGATCATTTTTCAGAAAAATGACCAAAACTTTGTTGATTTTGGTCCAGTGCACAAAAATGCACAAAAATCATTTTTATGGAATTGAGTCATGATTATACTCATTCGAACCGTCTTTTTGAGCTGATATCAAAAATGTGAAAATTTTTCAAGTTTGAACAAAAATTCGAGAAGTTATGATAAGATTTCCGAAATCAGTGATTTTTATGAAAAATGTCCAAAAATCATTTTGATGAAACTAGGTCATGATTCGACTCATTTTGACCGAAAAAATGTGAAAAACACGAAAATTTTAATTTAGAATCGTTTGGAACCAAATTGATCGAGATATGATTCAGAAATTCAGAAACTCAGAAACTCAGAAACTCAGAAATTCAGAAACTCAGAAATTCAAAAATTTAGAAATTCAGAAATTCAAAAATTTAGAATA